CCATGGTCGAGGGTCAAGCCCTCGACCATGGCTTACCACCACTGACACACTTACCGTGTTGATGACCCTGAGGACGACATGGTCAGCTCCTTCTCCTCGGTACGTCACGTCACCCGCTGCTACTCTCAAGATGGGCGGGTCACACCCGTCGGAGGCCGGGTCACACCCGTCGGAGGCCGGGTCACACCCGTCGGGGGCCGGGTCACACCCGTCGGAGGCCGGGTCACACCCGTCGGAGGCCGGGTCACACCCCCCGTCAGCGCCTCTGAGCCTGGCCACCTGGTGTTGACAGCTCACCACCTGGGCAGGTGGTATGCGTGGCTGGGAGGTCACAGGGTCACGGCAGGGGTCACGGATGGAATGGGCGGGGCAGAGGGGCGGACCGATGACCACAGGGACAGTCAGGGCCGCCATCAACATCTCTGAAGACACAGACATGCAAGCATCAATCAGGGCGCACGAGTGCCGGTACTCACAAGTTATCAAACAGCACTTGCACTCAAGTGACACCTTACGGGGCTATTCATGCCCGTGCCACCTCTTGGGTGGCTTAATCTATCAATCAAGTGACATCACACGTTATTACATGTTCCACTATTAGTATTAAATAAATAAATGTTTATTTAGGTAAGGTACATACATACAAGAGATTTTACAAAGTTTGTTGGATTAATAGATAGAGCTAGTACATACAATACCTAAAGCCACTATTACGCAAAGCGTTTCGTGCAGGAAAAACATTAATGACTAAAGCTTAATACTAATGGGTATAAAGAATAAAATGTGTTGAGAACAAATAAAAATAGAGGTAAAAGAGGGGGGAACATGGCTGAAAAAGCAGCACAAATACAATTACAATTATTACAGAAAATTACATTCAAACAGCGTTGTTTTGAAAAAAAAAAAACAGACATGGGTTGACAATAGAGGGGTAAGGTAGGTTACAGGGAATTTATTAGGTAGTGCTTCGGTTTTATCTTAAACTGGTTGAGAGAGGTACAGTATTAACATGGTTGGGAAGGTCATTCCACATTCTGGGTCCCTTGATTTGAAGAGCATTTCTAGTTTGATTAAGTCGTACTCTAGGAATATCAAAACTGTATTTATTTCTGGTGTGGTGCTCATGGGTTCTGTTACAACCTTCAATGAATCTTTTGAGGTCAGGATTGGCATTACAGTTCAGCGTTTTATATATGTATAATACACATGAGAGAATGTGCAGTGACTTAATATCTAACATATTCAAAGATTTGAGTAGGGGTATTGTCTGGGAACAGGACACCCGGTAGGCCTATCAAGTAGACCAACTACTGACCTAGCACAGGATGGAGCCCACAACAGTTGCCTAACTTCCGGGTATATATATATTTATATTTGCAGGCAGGTGAACAGAGGCACCCAGCTGAAAGGAAACAGTTGCTCGAACGTCTCCCTCTTGCCTCGGGAATCGAGCCTGCTACCGGCTGCGCCGACTTCACATCCCATCCCACAATTTGCCAGGAATGGGATATGAAGAGCGACTGAAGGAACTAGACATGACGACCCTACAAAACACTTAAGTACTTAACTAAGGTGGACGAAATTCATCAATCATCGGCACTTATAACCCACTCGTTAAGTGCTAAAATTATCCACAATCACCAGCACTTATAAACATCTATAAGGGTGGTTACTGGCCGGCCGGCAAACTGTGCTCCACAACGCTGCCTCGCTTACAAATGTCAACACAAGATAACCCAGCTGACATATGAAGCCTTAACACACTGGTATGGTAACAAGAGTAATAATTACCTCTACGTAAACATTATAAGTCAGCCATATTAGTAGTATATCCGCTTTTATAGTCCATACAACAACATTAACATGTATGAGAGAGAGAGAGAGAGAGAAAGAGCAAGAGAAAAAGAGAGCAAGAGAAAAAGAGAGCAAGAGAAAAAGAGAGCAAGAGAAAAAGAGAGCAAGAGAAAAAGAGAGCAAGAGAAAAAGAGAGCAAGAGAAAAAGAGAGCAAGAGAAAAAGAGAGCAAGAGAAAAAGAGAGCAAGAGAAAAAGAGAGCAAGAGAAAAAGAGAGCAAGAGAAAAAGAGAGCAAGAGAGAGAGGTGGTGGAAAGTATCGTACTGAGGTAGGGAGCGGGCCGGCAGCGAGGGCGCTAAGGGATCAATGGTGGCGGGTGTATGGTGGCCAGTAGTTACCGTCTTAGAGATGCTGGAGTGCTGGGGACCAGGAGCTGCACACCGAGGCAATCTAGGGCCTGGGCGGGGAGTGAGTGTGGGCTTGACGAAGTCCCGGTGCCTTCCAACTCCTCGCCAAGTAGAGTAGTTAATGAATGAGGGGGTGGAAAAGGCACTAGGTTTACCCCTCCTCCAACACTACTGGAGGCGGGTGCGGTGGTGCCACCTATTTCTTAATAGTGCGCTCGGTAATTGATTTTTCCTCCTGGTGCGTTTCTTGCGACTACGGTAACACCACTAATATATACAATTGGCAGACACCGCTCTTGTAGTTTGTGTAATTTAATGCTCGACATTATCTTCAAATTAAGTTAAGTGAGTGTTTTGCAACCGACTAACATCGTGAGAACATGGTGCCAATTGTTACATTTTCAAATATTTTTGTAAATTATTTACAACAAATTACATGTTAGGCGTGCGTTATTTAGCTTAAAGAACATATAAATACACGGATTTTGTGTGTATTTTGACATGAAGGTTGAGTATACATGTCAAAATATCGTAACAAATGTAAGGCTTGTCAACAAGAGTGACGTCAGAGTTCATGACGTCATGGCCTCTTGCTCCCCTTGCCGAAAATTCCCAAAAATTAAACATTTGATTCTTAAAAAACAAATGTCCTCATTCTTAAATATACCAGCTCAGTAACATTACTTATAATTATATGTAGTACATATATAAGACATTTAAACATTGATTAAATGTATATATATCAGAGAGGAAAGAGAGAGCAATGAGGGACAAACTATATGGCAGCATCGTTCGGGTAAAAGTCGTGACGTCAAAGCCGTGTCAACTTCATGTTCTCTCGACTGATTAAACTTCAAACTTGAGAGATATGAACATTCCTGAACACTCATGGTATGAACACTCATAACGTGAACACTGACAGTTCTGCAGGTAATAGCGCAATAATTCCCCATCGTTAAATACATATGTAATTCTGCGTGCAAATTATTGCACAGAACGGTTGGGCTTGTTCTTGACTCGCAATCGGGAATCCCCGCTTCGAATCCCGGGCAGGACAGAAGCGGTTGGGCACGTTTCCTTTCACTTAATGCCTCGGTGCATTTAGCAGTAACCTAAGAGTTAGTCAGCCTGTTTGTGGTTTTGTATCCTGAGGCGGGTCACTAGTTTCACCTTAAGGGGGGTGGGGCTAAATATTAACCTAACGTATATACATTCACAGGCTGCCTGTCCCCGACAAAACGAATTAACATACACTGAAAATCCAAATCAAATTATTATTATAAGGTATAGGTAAATTCATATTTACTATAGTTTACCCTTTAATATTAAACAAAGAAAACTAGTCACATGAAAGAGAATTTTTATCATAAACTATTTTAAAATGAAATTGCTTGTTCCTTATTTTTGCTTATTATTCATTTCATCTTTTTCATTCTTCCCATGCTACTGTTCCTCCTCCCATGCTTTTATCAAATTTTTTCACCATCATTATATACCACTTAACAATTTAGCAGTCCCCGTGGCGCAGTGGTAAGACACCAGCCCGTCCTCTTAAGGTTTCCAAACGTCAAAAAATTGTCGTATTAAAATTTCGCGAGACGTTTTCTATTACAATTTTTGTCCTTGGGTCAAATATACGTCAAAATGCGACGTTCCATTAGGAGGACGGACCCGTGCTTCGCGAGCGCTTTGGCCTGGGTTCGTATCCTGGCCGGGGAGGATTGACTGGGTACCAATCCTTAATTGTAGCTTCTGTTCACCCAGCAGTAAATGGGTACGTTCGTTGTTAAACGATTTGGCGGGTCGTATTCCGGGGATAATTAGGATTAAGGCTGAAAGCCTGAGACGCTGTGCGTGCTGGTGGCTGTACAAGAATGTAACAACTCTTGTGTGTGTGTTCATCTAGTTGTGCTGGTGGGAGTGGAGCTCTGGCGCTTTCGGCCCGCCTCTCAACTCTCAATCGATCAACCTTTTTTCCTCCAAACACACACACACGTGATCACCACATTCAAGATTCTCAAGGGAATCGACAGGGTAGATAAAGACAGTCTATTTAACACGAGGGGCACACGCACTAGGGGACACAGGTGGAAACTGAGTGCCCAAATGAGCCACAGAGATATTAGAAAGAACTTTTTTAGTGTCAGAGTGGTTGACAAATGGAATGCACTAGGAAGTGATGTGGTGGAGGCTGACTCCATACACAGTTTCAGATGTAGATATGATAGAACCCAGTAGGCTCAGGAACCTGTACATTAGTTGATTGACCATTAAGAAGCGGGACCAAAGAGCCACAGCTCAACCCCCGCAAGCACAACTAGGTTAGTACAACTAGATAAGTACAGGGGGGCCGGTGGCTGAGTGGACAGCACGCTAGATGCGTGCTCCTGTCGTCCCGGGTTCGATTCCGGGCGCCGGCAAGAAACAATGGGCAAAGTTTCTTTCACCCTATGCCCCTGTTACCTAGCAGTAAATAGGTAATCAGCTGCACAGCGTCAGTCAGTCAGCGGAACACAACCCCCCAAGTAATACAGGTGGAGAAGGTATCCCTCCCACTTGGCCTGGTGTTGGGCTGTGGTTGTTCACCAACCACATCAATACACACCAGTTTACTGACCAACCAGCAAGTATACATTACCCCTCAACACAGTCCACGACTAAAGTAAACTCCCAGTGTATATAAACAAATCCACAAGGGCCGTGACGAGGATTCGAACCTGCGTCCGGGTATATTATACACCGAGAAGGAGGGGGGGTATACATCGTATGTAAACTGTATATCTATGTCTTTACACTCTTACATACAACATTGTATTTCCCCCCCCTGTATTGGCCTCCGTAGGTTTGGTGGGTTGCTTGGGTTCGTATGTTTATTGCTAGGCTAAACACTTGTATTTTGTATGGAGTGTCAAAGCTAGAGAACATACAGCGAATACAAGAAGTTGGTTTTAATTGGTGTATGAGGTGAAGAATGAGGGACCTGGCTGTCCTGTATGTCATACCTCTGACATACAGGCCTGTATGGCCGAGTATGGTCAAGTATGTGACCCTCATCACTCCCATGACCTAGAATGGGTCAGCAGCATATCTGTGACCTCATTAACTATGACCTTTGACCCCGAGAGCCTCCGGATATGAACACACAGAGAGGTTTTAATAATTCATTGATGACGTCAGTTCCCCCCCCCCTAGTACAGATTGTGTCAGGGTTTCACGATGGGTTGGAGGGAGGGGGGGTAGGAGATATTATATATATATATATATATATATATATATATATATATATATATATATATATATATATATATATATAATAAAATATATATATAATAAAATATATATATAATAAAATATATATATAATAAATATATATATATATATATATATATATATATATATATATATATATATATATATATATATAGTTACGATAATCTCCTTGAAGAGATTAGGCCTGCTCTTTCCTACCATCAAGCTACTTCAGTACATCTAAAACATCTAAATACTACAAGCAAGTGTAGTAAATATTGAATCAAATACGCTTTGCCAGGTGATAATGTATCATCACACTCGCCCTCCACCCTCCCCCCCCCCCCCCCCCCCCCTCCCACGTCGCCGATCACCAAACTACCATTTGCAGCCTGCCTGCTTCTGATTGGTGAATCGACGTCTGTACTTCTGCACCTCAGCGCCCTCTACCTAGCTGATGTCCGGGCCTGAACCAGCCATTGAAGTTAGAATATCCTTGTGCTCTCAAGCTGTGAACAACCAACTGATATACGCTCTGTTTATTGGTGGAGGTTCTCAGTTAGCGCCATGTTCTCAGCACCTGTTTATCAGTTTTCTGTCTTTATTTTATATGTAGAGTGACGTCATCACAGTTCTTATGTTATATGTTTTTGACATGTTAATTTACGCTGTACATAGACAAGGAATTGTCTTATTCATAATTTGTTTTTAAGTTAAAGTTTCATTGTTCATACTATGTGTTTTGCTTGTCTTGCCTTACTTTACCACAGACAACAAGCCAAGCAGTCAACATTTTTTTTCCTCTAAATGTGATTTGGCTGATGTTAATGCCTATATATATATATATGTACGATGTGCCTTGCTACGGCAAACTGCCCCAAAAAATCACCTAGCCACTTTGACTAGACGGTAAAGCAACAGTCTCGCTTCATGCAGGTCGGCGTTCAATCCCCGATCGTCTCAGTAAGTGGTTGGGCACCATTCCTTTCTCCCCCGCCCCGTCCCATCCCAACTCCTTATCCTGATCCTTTCCAAGTGCTATAAAGTCGTAATGGCTTGACGCTTTTCCCTTGATAATTAAACAAAATAAAAATACCAAAAAACTCAGAAAAAAATAGACCAATAGAATCAATATTCTTAAACTTTCCATCCTAGAAGTCTGGGCTAACAAGCCGCAGAGCTTTTAGATACAGAGGGAAAAAAAATTTCATTATATTTATGCCCTGAGAAGTTATGAGCAATTCTGACAATTTTTTTTTTTTTTGAAAAAAATATTCATGAAATTAACTTTTCATGTTGGTGAACATAATGTTGGTGAATAAAATGAAAAATAATGCATTCCATTTGTTAACTACACTGACAAAATTCTGTCTCTATGGCTCATTTAGAAACTCAATTTTCACCTGTGTCCCGTAGTGCGTGTGCCCCTTGTATTAAATACATTCCCTTTGTCTACCTTATCAATTCCTTTGAGAATCTTGTATGTGGTGATCATGTCCTAACTCTACTGTCTTCTCTCCTGTGTACTCGCCTAGTTGTGTTTGCGGGGGTCGAGCTGTGTGTGTTTACACACACACTAATTTACACTCAAGAGAGAGTACACGCAAGTGGGAGCACACGCACGCACCTCAAGTCCACAGAAGGAGAGGCCACCTTTAGTTCCCATTTTGGTTGGTTAAGACAGCCACCTCCATCAAAATGTTAAATATACCGACCCAATTAAAGATGAAGCAATTAGTCTGGGCGGACCAGGAGCCACCACCAGTGCCTTGTAGAACACGCTACACTATTAACACAGTTAGTAGAACATGAGAATCAGCGCAGCTGCAGAAGACCTTAACCCTTATATGGCAGCTCCTATTTATATCTAAGTGTGTAGATATATATACACAAACATGTCTAACCTACGCTTGAAACAATAGAGGGATCGCCCGTCTATTGAGTTACCCCTGTAATTTGGCACCATAAATCAACAAACCTATTTCCAAACCAGTATTTACCCAGGTCTTTCCCCCCTCCCCGCTCAGCTCGTTGTCGCCGTGTGGGGGCTT